AGCGGGGGCGGGGCGAACCCGCAGCGAAGCGGGGGAGCGGGGCTGCAGACGTGCCCTACAGGGCAGGGTATAGGACCGCGGCGGCAGCGCAGCCCGAAGCGGCGCGCTACGCTGCGCGCACCAGTTCAAAGGAGCACCGGGGAGCTGGGAGAAGCGGGGGCCATATTAAATCCGACCGTGGGCCGCAATTGGCCCGCGGGCCGGACTTTGGACATGCCTGCTGTAGACAAACATGTTATAACATGGGGAATCTAGATACTTTGGTGATTTTTTTGTTACAAATACTAAGGTAGAGAGATTTATTCTGGGGACTTTAAGCCTTTACCCCTATGTAGGAGCAACCGGAGAAAGGGACCATCTTTAGTCATTCTTTAGTAGTGCCTCCTTAAGTTGGCTCAACAACACCACTGATTGGCTCATGGGAGAACTCCATCTAACCATTTTGTGCTTGAAATGTGGTCAGTTCCATGCATGGCTGAGGGCTTAGTGGGTTGGCAGGGTTGCCAGGTGTCCAGTATTGAACCAGACCATCCGGTATTTTCTCTTCCTGTCCAGTAAAAATTTTCAGAAAATACCGGACACCTAAAATGTCCAGTATTTTCTGATTTTTTCCTAGCAGGAGGTGAAAATCCTGGATGCTTACCAGGTTCTGCAGGGGTGCTGTCCGGCCTGGTGAAGTGAGGCAAGATGGCGGGCAGCCACTGGCAGCCTGTTAGGGCCAAAAAGCCTCAAAATCATTTCTGGCCACACTGGTTATTTTATTTGATTTTTATTTTTTTGCTCAACAACTTTGTTCTCCCCTCCTCCCCCCCTTTTTTTTTTCTCAACAGAATTTTTGGTTAAACCATCTGGCAACCCTGTGGGTTGGGGGTAGAGGTAGGATGGAATGGAATTAAAATAGGGTGAAAAGAAAAATTTGAGGGACTAAAGATGCCACCTAAGGTAAATAGAAATGTTCTGCAATACATAGGAATTTTCTTTGTTGATTGTAATTGTTTGAAAACTGCAACATTTTGTAAAAAGGATTTAAAAGCTATCTAGTATCATGATAAAGAGTCCATGATATTTCATATACTGATGTATGCCAGATAGGTGATTTGCACAAAACTAAAGATAATATGTCCAAAAGGTGGAGCAAGTTTTCCTTGCTGTGGATTTATCTTAATGGTTGTTTTCCATGGGAAAATGTTGCTAAAGCATAATATTATTTCACTATTAGGAAAAGACTTTAAAGAAGATGGAGAAATGTGCTCTTAGGACTATCAATAGCATTTCTTTCACTATCAGCTGCAATTGTGGGTCATGATGAGAGTGGAGAACTTGCCCCACTGATCCAAGTATGATAGTTTTGACTGCTGAAGAAGGTATTAGAAAAACAAACCTGAAATCATGTTCAGAAATGTCTTTTGTGTTGATAATGGATGCATCTTCTACACCCAAGCTGCATTGGTATAGAGCTACAAAAGAACACTCCCTTGGAAATTTGGGATGTAAACAAATTTCTTAAAATACATGTTATTGGACTCAGTTTCTGAATTTTGTCAGTTGTGGTGAGACGTTTGAATGTTTTACAGTTAGTTTTATACTTAGAGTGGCATTTGGTTGATTTTGAGGAGAGATGTTTGTTCAGTGCCTTGTAAACAATGTATTATGAAAATGGAAAAAAGGAATGACAATGTATGATGTTTCAGAAATGCTTTTAAATATAGTCTTCAAGAAACTAATCCATAAACTTAACATCTATAATTGTAAGACAAGGAGACTTTCATGGGTTACATGGGAGACTTTACATGGGGGGATGGACCAAAGTTGTGGACCCCCCTAGGGTTACCAGATGGTTGAAATAAAAGTACTGAACACCCTCCTTCCCCCAAAAAAAACCAAACGGGAAAAAATTCTGTTGAAGGGGGGGGAAAAAAAGGGAGGAGGAGACCAAAGTTGTTGAGGGGGGAAAAAAAGACTCCAAAAATTAAAATAAAACAGCATTAAAATAGCATGTCCCCTTTAAGAGTGAGTGCAGGGATAGGAACAGCAGAGAACTTGAGCACTAAGACCCAGGGGAAAGCATTGCTTCCCCTAGGTCTTTTGGCCTGCAGCCATTTTGTGCGGGCAGCCTTGGGGAACCAGGTAAGCATGGGGACTGAGGCTCTTGAGGACTGGGGGGAGGAGATGCCAGGTACTGAGTGTTTGTAGGGTCACCAGGCA